AGATCATTCTATCATATGCGAATGCTGCTAATGCGTTAAAAACTTATTAAAAGCCATGTTCAATTTCTTTTTGGTACATATAATTTAAATAATGATGTATTGAAAATTTACAATAGTATACTTTTATTTTTTTTTAAAAGATAATAATATCTTTTTAAAAATGAATAATAATATATTTTTTTTCTAAAAAGGTAAATAATATAAAGATACAAGTAAATCTTTCAGGTGGATGACAACATGGTGGGTGAATTTGAGAGAGACCCATTGGATTCTATCATTTTCATTCCTCTACAAAAAAAAAAAATCCCAATAACCTTATGCTACACATTCCTCTACAAAATTAATTTCATTGCAAATTTTTCCTCAAAATCTTTATAGCACAAAAGGAACCACCTCCTTCTACCACTGTTAACGACGGCCACACAAAACATCTCGTGCCCCAAACAATTTAGCCCAATGGCGACCAACAAAAAAGTAGAAAAGATAGGGAGAAAATGATAACAAATGGGAAATAAAACAAAGAAAGAGAAAAGAAGAGAGGTTCTCAAATTTCTTCCTTTTCCCCATTATCAGCTCTCTTTCAAAAATATCCACAAAATGAGCAAAAATACCTATAGATCTATGTTCTTTGCTCAACCTAGCGTGATTTTGTAGCCAAATCTAGTGCAGGAGGGGAGGAGGATGAGAGAAAGCTTGGTACAAACTAAGGATAAAGAAAACTTGGTTCTTGTTCTGGTCTTAGTAGAGGAAAAGATGAGAGGAGTTTTAGTTTATTGAAGGGGAGGAGAAAATAAGTTTAAACCTAAATTATGAGGATTCTATTTTTTTTTTTTTGTTAAAAAAAACAAAATTGTAGGGATTCTATCAGGAGAGCGGGAGAAGAAGATAATTATGAGGGCATTTGACAATGAAATTAAATCTTTTCTTAACTAATTTTAAATCATGAGATATTTATATTTTAATCGATGTGTAACAAAGGGTGAAGGATGGCAATATACATCAATGATTGTCCCTCAGTTTATCATATCTACCAAGAAGTTAATGTAATTGCAAATTTTCTGACTAAGTCATTAACTCTGCTATTGACTTTATTTTGTACCATAAGAGTCCTACTGAATTCTTTTATATTTGCAGTTCATATTTTTCACGTATCGTGATCTAGTGGTTATTTGTTATCTTAAAGGGCAATCCGTGGTTTATACTCTCAAGTCTCATATTTAATACTTATCATTAATACTTCTAACGTAATAACCTTTAACCATTGCCCTTATAAAAAAAAAAAAACTCTTTTATATTTAAATTACCTTCCATATACTAATAAATAAATAAATGAATAAAAATGCTTAAAGTTTAAACATCTTGCATTAATTATTCCTAGTACAATGACACTTGTCCAAGAAAATGTATTGGGATTTCAGACCAGATCACGTGCTAATCACGTGACAGCCTCTCGTACGAACCAGAAATGGCTTGGTTGGACTCTGACGACTGTCGGCTGATGTTTCGAATGGGAAACATGTGGGTGTATAATTCTGGCCACTCTTAA